TGTCATGGCTGCTAGCTCGGCGGCCAGCGCAGCCTTCTCATCCTTAGTTACATAGGATTCCGCCTCCTCGTCTTCCCCCAACGATAAATTAGTGACCCACTCGCTGATCTTCTTCTCTAGCCCTGTATCTGTTTCCCTTGTCATCATGCCACCACTTCTCCCTTCTCCACTCTCAATCCTCATCCTCTCTTTCTCTTCTTCTGCTGCCGCTTCTGCTTCAACAACTTTTCTTCTTTCTTCCTCCTCTTGTTGTACTTTCTTTATCTCCTCCTCCAATCTCTTCATCTTCGCCGCCTGCTCGTCTGCGATAGCCTTTAGCTTGGCTTGCTTTTCACGCTCTTTCCTCTCCTTACTCTCTCTRACTAAGGCGGCCATCTTTTCTTGCTGCTCCGTGGTGTAGGGACTAGTCTCCTTCCCACTACGGGTCTCAACCATGGAGATAAGTGTACAACCGGGTTAGTGGTTCCAAACCTCACCACGTAGACGTCAACCCCTGACTGACAGACCTACTGACTCAATCTAAGACTCACAGAATCCTGACAAGGATTCTGTCAACTATGGTCTCTAGCCTAGACCTACACTATGGCTGTCATTATTGAACCAGTGGCTGATCAGGAGGCATTTAAGAAGATCCCCCGTAACTCCTCAAGAATTCTTTAACGTCGCAGACAGGACGACGTGATCAGCTTGGTTCTACCTGTGCTTTCAGCCCACAACTCAGCCTTTCCAGCCTACTCTGCCACCTTGAGCAGCCCGCCAGTCTGTACCGGTCCTTGGGAGGGTTCGTATCCCCCGGGACAGTCGAGTCGTCAGACACAGATCATCAGCCTTACTTGGTCTGGTAGGGGAGTGGTTCCAACACGCCCTCAACACTTAAAGATGGCCTCCGTTTCAGCCAGCAGCTCAGAGTTCGGACCCTCTACAGTGAAACTGAGTAGACCTGCCGGACAGTACCGGTCATTGGGCTAGACGAGTTGTTTAACGAGCGCTCGCCGCTCATGCCCAGGTCTCCATATACGAGAGTAGAGATTGGTCCTACTAAGTCTCGTGCAGGTTTGGCAGCAAGGCCCTATCCTTCATCCACAGAGTTCTATGACCTAGGACAGAAGAGACTCAATGCAGAAAGAATAGATAGACAGACTGTACTCAGCAAGTACCAAGGGGTATGTGCACATGCATAGGGCAAGGGGCAGGCTAAGGGCTTGGCGAGATGTTACCAATTCCAGCTTGGTCAAAGTCTTGGTCAATGCCTTGGTCAACGGCGTTGGTCAACGCCGGTCAACGCTGCCATGACCCTCGGTCAACTTCGGTCAACTCCGGTCAACGCCTCCGGTCAACCCTCTCGGTCAA